TCGTACCTTAGCATTTTGGTAGGTAGGCAGTAGAGGTCAAAATCATAGTTCAATGAGAATAGTCTGACGGAGTCCATCACATATTTTCTGCACGATAGCTGTTGTGGAAATACGGCAGAAGGAGTCACAAGTTTGTTTGAACGATGATTTCGAATGTAATACTGGTTTCGCATCAACATGTCTTACTGGAGAATTACAATGAAGTTATGTTAAAGAACAATTTTTCTATTTTAGTCTAAACCTTCAATCAAAGGACTGATTTTTGACTGTATGCATTCAACTAATCCGCCATAAACGATACACACTAATTTGCGATCTTTGCTATATCATTTTCTAGCCACTGTTTTGCTGATCTCTTACCGTTTAACTACCATAACATTGCAGTAAGACGCTACTGGACAAATATACTACTCATGATCAAAAACGAACATTTTTACCGATCATACTAAGATAATACGGCGGCTCTTTCGCGAAGGTTGGGCAGAATATCGAAAACCAGGGATACCCATGAAAGTCTTTTCTACACCACAAGGGAATGCGATATGGTCAGCAGGAACTTCAACTATACCGTTTATCGCTCGTGTCAAATTGTGAGAAATCCATTCAGATAATTGATGGTCTTTTTAGAACAAAGAAATTGCGATCTTCAAAGATGATGTCGATTCAACTATCAAAGATCAAAAACTACTTTCTTAACTCATTGTAGCGAATTATTTTTGAATTACGTTTTCTGAAGAAACACTGTTGTTCCTCACATCAAAAAGTACAGAAGGTTACACTATAAAAAGCACTTCTTAATTAAGGTCCCTTCCAAACCTGCCGAATTTTACAAGGTTTTTGCTTCAGCTTATACAAATTATTTTAAAAAAGCCGGATATGGTTCAGATTGGGCAGAACCGAGCCCAGGATGATATCAATGTCAAAATGTTGGCTACATATGGAAAAGTCGTGTTTCTGTTCTTATGTTTCTGCTGGTCTTCTCTGTTCAGCAGTTTTAAGTAATTGCTATCCTCAGTTAGTTAGGTAGACTTAACCAACAATAAATAAACGATAGGCCCTTTTTAGCAGCATGAATTTGAAAAGCACTTATTCGGCTTAGAAAGCAATGCAATTCTTTATATTCGCAGACGTAATGGTCTGTCGCACCGCATGCGCCGAGCGCATATAGCTGCGCAAAATGCCCCCTAAGCAGAGACTTTCGTAGATTTGACTCTAATTTCAAAGGAACACAGTAGGGAGCTCAGGTGAACCTATCGAATCTTTGCGGTATGGCGCTATCGTGCGTAGGTATGATATACATCACAACCGAGACGACAAATAACCCTCCCCTCACCCCTGCCTATACCA